GAACGTTTTTGCGCCCGTATGCCTCTCTCTGTACCTGCCTCTCTCCTGGCTGCCTGTCGGTCCGTCAGTCTGACTTTGTGTTGGCGCTGGCGCTCCGCAATCCCGTCCCCCCTGGCGCCAAGGCACCGCCCGCCAAGAAGCGCAAAGCCAAGCCCAAAGGTGCCACAGCCACACAACCACCACACACACACACACACACCCTGCATCTTCTCGTGTCATTGTCATCTCATTCTCACCGCTCAGCACGGCGTGCGCCTGTCCGCAAGGCTGCTCGGAAGGGCAAGGCCGGCGGCCGTGGTGGTCGTGGCGGTCGCAAGAAGGTCGTCGCCGAGGATGAGGACGATGACGGTGACGAGGCGATGGCGGCGGCGGCGGCCAAGGACGATGAGGAAGAGGACGATGAGGTGAGCCGGGGTGGGAGGGGCGGGGCGGGGCAGGGTGGGACGGCATGCCATCTTTCATTGCTGCCGACTGACTGTCAGGATGAGGAGGATGATGACAATGACGAGGAGGAGGAGGATCCCAAAGCCAAGGTAGGTCGGGGGATGGAAGGCATCCTCTGTATCCATGCTTGTATGGTACTATGCATTGCATTCTCGGTTTGGTGTGGTGTGGTGTGGTGAATGATGCAGGGCATCCTGCTGCGGCAGCGCAAATACCTGCAGCCGTACCTGCTCGGCGGAGGACACGGCGACAAACTGGGCAGAGTCAAGGTACCCACACCCCTCCCCTCATCCCAAACACACACACGCAGAGAGAGAGAGAGAGGTGGAGGTGGAGGTGGAGAGGGAGAGGGAGAGGGAGAGGACTGCTTGTATCTGTGTGTCTGTATGTCTGTTCCTTCCCCCCACTGTAGGATTTGTTGGCTGACGAGGAGCGTGCGAAGGAGGAGGAGGCCAAGCAGGAGGCCGCCCGCCAGGCCAAGCGCAAACGACCCCCCATCAAACCCAACTCAGAACTTCTCAAGGTGAGAGAGAACCAAAGCCCCAACACCCCCCACATCTCACATGTGTGTTGTGTGCAGGTGAAGCACGACGGCATGAAGCGGTGGAACAAGGTGTACGTCGATGAGGACAACAACGCCTACAACGTGACGCTGACCAAGGTCGAGATGGACACCTCCATCAACAAGTTCTACATCATGCAGCTCCTCGTCGGCAAGGGCGGCATCGAGGAGTACGAGACCAAGCCGAGATCGGGCGGCGGCGCACAGAGAGACAAACAGGGCTTCTCATACCGGGTGTGTGTGTGGGTGC